AAAAGAGGAGAAAATTTTGAATCGTTTAAAAACGAACCCGGCCCGGCCCAGTGTGGAAATACTGTATTTTTTTTCCAAAATTCAGTATTTATATGTAAATAGATGGCCATACTGTATTTAATAAATTTATGTCATAGAAAACGGAAACCCTGTGGCTGGGCAGGGGACTAGCCATCTTGGTTTGAATTGTGTACAACGTTGGTGTGATGGGAAGGATTTTCGTGCTCTAGAGGTTGAAAATTGGGCTGACACCTCTCAAATAGGAGGCGAAATGTTGGAAATGCATTCCTGCATAACTTGAGATATCAGACGACTGGACAAGACAGCTCCAGGAACCTCAGATAAGCTCTCTAGATTTGTGTATAATTCTAGCCAGTGTTTTCATAAATTTAGTTAGTGAGGTTTTTCTGAGTATGATACAACTTAATATCCAGTCAAATTGGTGAGTGATATTAAGATATATTTTCCTTCTGTTATGTAATTGTGTTTATATATAATCATTTTTTAATATAGTCCACAAATTTATATATTTACCAGAATTCCTGATGTATAATTCATTTAATTAATAGGTCAGAGCAACTTGTGGTTATGACAGTGGTAGGTATCGAAGGGGGACATTTTTTGCGACCTAGGTGTCCCAAATTCCTACTTGTCTATGTAACATTGATAAATAATAATTATCTTTGTTATCATTTACTGTTATGTACATAATTAGTTACATTCAGATAAATGCAATTTTCCACAGCCTTATTAATTTTAAATTTGCCCGAAATGCTTTGCATATAAATGGGCTTTCGTCATGTACACTCAAGTATTACATGTATCATGCCGAAATAAAATGTTATTATTATTATCACTACTACTGCCACACTAACTGTCAACCACCACCTCTATTCCTCTGCTGCAATCCACCACTATTGCAACCAATGCCAACATACACTTGAATTTTTCAACCACCATTATGTCTCTAGTGTAGTCACAACCACCTCAGTCTCTTTGACAAGCCTTCTCATCAGTGTATTTGTTTACAGTGACGGCAAGTACTATGAGATCGTCAAGGCCAACTTTGAACGTGCTGACCGTACCACTGTGGTCCGCACCTCCACCAACTGCTGCGTCTCCATTGTTTATCTTCTCTCCCACTACAAGGACCTCATCTTTAATTAACATCCGGAACCTATACGACAAGACACTACCATAAGTAACACAAGAAGATCGAAGGCATAGAGAAGCACAAAAATAATGAAGTATAGACAAAATGGAATGAAACGAGAAGAATTATATAAAAATAACAATGACACGAGAAGAATTATATAAAAGTAACAATGAAACGATAATAAATAATACAAATAATAGAAGCAAAAAGGGGGAGGGCAAAGTGATCATTTCAAGAAAGGAAGAAGTGGATTAACTAAATAAGAATAAAATATCAAGCGGAAGACATGAAAAAGGGTGAATAAAAAATTAGAATATGGCGCTTCCATAACAATAAAAAAAAAAAAAAAATTTTAAAACCTTTTTAAAAGAAAAAATTTCTCTACAAAAAGACAATTAACTTCAGAAAGCTTTTAAGATTTTTTAAGCATGCTTTCCAAATAAGGTGCCAGACAAAAATATACTTTAAAAAACCCCGGTAGTAGCAAACACCCCCATTCAAAATTTTTAATTTGGTATCAAAAATTTCATTTTTACTGTACGGAAAAGTAAATATTCTGTACTGACAAGTAAATATTACTGTACTGACAAGTAAAAAATATTACGTATGACAAGTATAATTACTGACTGACAAGTATAATATTACTGTACTGAGAATAAATATTACTTAAAACAAGTAAATATTATTACTGAAATATAATATTATGTATGCAATTTATAATATTACTGTAGAAAAGTATAAAAATACGACTGAGAAGTATAATATTAGTCAACAATTTAAAAAATATTACTGTACGGCAATTAAATTACTGTATTGGAAGTTAATTACTGTACAGAAAAAGTATATATTACTGTATGACAAGTTAATATTTTGTATGAGAATTTAAATTACGACTGAAAAGAAAATTTTTACTTACAGCTTAATATTATGTACTCAAGTATAATTTTACTGTCTGACAATAAAATATTACTGTACTGAAATATAATATTACGTATGCAATATAAATTCAATAAAAGAATCAAAAGAAAAATACAGTACCTGAATTATTAAACCCCAGGACATTTATAGAGCATCAAAATTTTTTCCCGTTTTTATAGAGCATCAGACAGTTGATTTTTATAGAGCAGACAGACATTTGCAGTTTTTAACATGAAATTTGCATTTTATAGAGAGACAACATTTTTTGCAGTTTATAGAGCAACAGACATGTTGCAGTTTTTAAGAGAAGACTGTTCATTTTTATAGGCATCAGACATTTTAGTTTTTAGAGCAAAGACAGTTGCATTTTTATAAGCAGTCAACAGTTGAGTTTTATAGGCAGTCGCATTTTGCATTTTTTAAAAGCAGTCAACTTTTTTGCAGTTTTATAAGCATCAAATGTTGCGTTTTATAGAGCAGACAGACATGTTGCAGTTTTATGGGGAAACAGCATGTTGCGTTTTTAAGAGACGACTTTTTGCAGTTTTATAGAGAAATCAGACATTTGCAGTTTTATAAGCAGACAGACATGTTCTTTTTATAGAGCAGTCAGACATTTGCGTTTTATGGATCAGAATGTTGCCCTTTTTAGAGAAACAATATTTTTGCTTTTTATAGAGCAGCAGACATGTTGCATTTTATAGAGCATCAGAATGTTGCGTTTATAGAGCATCAGACCATGTTGCAGTTTTATAGAGCTCAGACTGTTGCTTTTTAAGCATCAGACATGTTGCGTTTTATAGAGCAGACGACTGTTCATTTTTATAGACATCAGCATGTTGCAGTTTTATAGAGCAGCAGACATGTTGCAGTTTATGAGCAGACAGACATGTTCAGTTTTTATAGAGCGTCAGACAATTTTGCGTTTTATAGAGCAGACGACATGTTAGTTTATAGAGCATAACATGTTGCAGTTTTATAGAGCTCAGAATTTGGGGCAGTTTTATAGAGCACCCAACTTTCAGTTTTATAAGCATCAACTTTTTCATTTTTTATGGCAACGGACATTTGCATTTTATAAGCAGTCAGACATTTGAGTTTTATAGAGCGTCAGACGTGCAGTTTTATAGACAGCAGACTGTTCAGTTTTAAGAGCATTAAACATGTTGCAGTTTTATAGAGCAGTCAACATGTTGCAGGTTTAAAGGCATCACTTTTTGTTGCATTTTTTATAGAGCAGTCAACATGTTGCGTTTTGTAGAGCAGACAGACTGTTGCTTTTTTATAGACACTAGACATTTGCAGTTTTAAGAGCAGTCAGAGTTTTGCAGTTTTATAGGGGCAGTCAACATTTTGTTTTTTTATAGGCGTCAATTTTGAATTTTTATAGAGCATCAGCAGTACGTTTTATAGGCAGTCAGAATTTTGCTTTTTATAGGCATCAAATTTTTGCAGTTTTATAGAGCATCAGACATGTTCAGTTTTAAAAGGCAGTCAACATGTTGCACTTTTAAATTTCGACATGTTCGTTTTAAGAGCAGTCAACATTTGCAGTTTTATAGAGCATCAGACATGTGTAGTTTTATAGAGCATCACCATTTTTCATTTTTATAGACAGACAGACATGTTGCAGTTTTATAGAGCTCAGACATGTTGCATTTTTTAATAAGCGTCAACATTTTTGCTTTTTATAGAGCAAACAGACAGTTGCATTTTATAGAGCTCAGGTTTGTTGCAGTTTTATAGAGCATCAGACAGTTGCATTTATATAGAGCAGTCAACATGTTGCAGTTTTATGGCGGCAACATTTGCAGTTTTTATAAGCATCAGACATGTTGCTTTTATAAAGCATAGACAGTTGCATTTTTATAGAGCAGACAGACATTTTTCAGTTTTTAATAGGCTTCAGAATTTTTGATTTTATAGAGCATCGACATGTTCTTTTTATAGAGCTAGACATGTTGCGTTTTTTAGACATCAACTGTTGCATTTTAAAAGGCATCAGACATGTTGCAGGTTTATAGAGCAGCGACGTGTTGCGTTTTATAGACATCAGACATGTTGCTTTTTGTAACAGACGACATGTTGCATTTTTTATAGAGCCTCAGACTATTGCGTTTTATAGAGCATCAGAGTTTTGGGCAGTTTTATGAGCAGTCAACAGTTCAGTTTTAAGACAGTCAGAGTGTTGAAGTTTTATAGAGCATCAGCATGTAGCAGTTTATGAGCACAGACATGTTGCATTTTTTAAAGCATCAGACAGTTGCAGTTTTTTAGAGACAGACATTTTGCAGTTTTTATAGAGCATCAAAATGTTGCACTTTTTAAGTAGTCAACATGTTGCGTTTTATAAGCGTCAGACATTTTGCGTTTTTAGACACTCAGAATTTGTATTTTTATAGAGCAGTCACCCATTTTATTTTATAGAGAACAGCTTTTGATTTTTTATACAGCATCAGAAACATTGCATTTTTTATAGAGCCGTCAGACAGTTGCAGTTTTATAGAGAAAAAAAAACATTTTGCATTTTTTATAAGCAGTAGGCATGTTTGCAGTTTAAGGCATCAACATGTTGCAGTTAAAAGCGTCAGACATGTTGAGTTTTATAGAGGGGCCGGGGGGTTTGCAGTTTTTATAGGCATCAACATTTTGCGTTTTATAGAGCAGTCAGACTGTTGCAGTTGTATGGGGCACCCGACATGTTCAGTTTTAAGAGCATCAACATTTTTTGCATTTTTATAGAGCGACGACTTTGCAGTTTTAAGAGCATCAGGCATTTGCAGTTTTATAGAGATCAAAGTTGCAGTTTTATAGAGCGTAGACATTTTTTGCAGTTTTTAGGCAGTCGGCATGTTCTTTTTTTAAAGAGCGTCAGACTGTTGCGTTTTATAAAGCAGTAGACATGTTGCTTTTTTATAGAGCAGTCGACATTTTCAGTTTTTAGAGCATCATCATGTTGCAGTTTTTAGACAGCAACATTTTGCAGTTTTTAGAATAGACATATTGCGTTTTTAGAGCAGCAACATTTGCAGTTTTATAGACAGTCAGACATTGCATTTTTTATAAGCAGTCAGAATTAGCAATTTATGGGGCAGTCGACATGTTGCTTTTTTATAAGCATCAACATGTTGCGTTTTTATGGCGTCAAACATTTTCATTTTTTAAAGAGCAGCGACATTTGCGTTTTATAGGCATCAAACTTTGAGTTTTATAGGCAGTCAGACATGTTGCATTTTTTAGAGCAGTCAGACGTTTTTGCAGTTTAAGGCAGTCACACATTTTGCAGTTTTGTAGAGCAACAGACTTTTTGCAGTTTTATAGAGACTCGACTTTTTGCAGTTTTATAGAGCGTCAACATTTCAGTTTTTTTGAGCATCAGACATTTTGCAGTTTATAGGAGTCAACATGTTGCAGTTTTTAAGCGTCAGACATGTAGCAATTTTATAGAGATCAACATGTTGCAGTTTTATAAGCATCAAATGTTCAGTTTTATAGAGCATCAGACATGTTGCATTTTTTATAGAGCAGTCAGAATTTTGCAGTTTTTTAAGCGTCAACAGTTGCAATTTTATAGAGCATCAGACAGTTGCATTTTTAAGAGCATCGACATGTTTTTTTATAAGCTAGACTTTGCATTTAAAAGAGCACAACATTTTGCATTTTTTAAGACAGTCAGACTGTTGCAGTTTTTTTGGCATCAGACATTTGCTTTTTTTATAAGCATCGAAAATTTGCAGTTTTTAGAGATCAGCATGTTGGAGTTTTAAAGCATCAACATTTGCAGTTTTAAGAGAGTCAACAGTTGCATTTTTATGAGCATCAGAAAGTTTGTTTTTTAGACAGTCAGACTTTTTCAGTTTTATAGAGCATTCGACTGTTGCAATTTTATAGACAGCAACATTTTGAGTTTTATAGACATCAGACTTTTTGCAGTTTTTTTTGAGCATCAGACATGCTGCTTTAACCACCAAATTTTTTTATTAATAAAACTGACGCGACTAAAAATGATCAGGGTGATACAAAATTTTTGTAATTTTTTTAAGCGTAGTTCGCGCAAATTAGTTACACTATAAAAAATTTTGGGGTTTGAAAAATTATTATTTATTAAGAAATAAGGGAGGAACCGGGGTCATTCGTGCAAGAAAAATGGGGGGGGGGGGGGGGGGGGGGGGGGGGGGGGGGGGGGGGGGGAAATCGTTTTTTGGTCTTAGTAAAGGGAAAGAATTTTTTAATTCTTTGAAATAATGCCCTTTACGGGCATGAATGAGAAACGCTTTTTGGTAGAATTTG